TCCTCTATTATAGTTATTAATATTTTAAATTAGTTTTCATATTTTCAGTTCTCATTTTAATTGTAGTTGAGGTTTTCATATTATTTGTGCATTATTTTTATTAGTTGGTCTTTTAATATTTAAATCAAACATTTTTTATTTAAATTTTAGTTTTCAGTACATTAAGTAGTAAGTTGAACTAAATGAAAGTGAGAAATGCTGCCTTGGAAATTAGCTGAATAAAAGAAATTGTTATATTTAAAATTTTTCCTCCCCCAAATAATAATTTGCTAAATTTGACTTAAATCACTGCAGCTATGTAGCAGGGTACATTACCTGGTGCAATAAACATTTTCATTGTTGGTGTGATAAACATTTCAAAAGACAATGACAGTCAGACAAAACCAAATGCAAATACGGTTTGATTTCCTTTCTTCTCTGTGAAAGGAAACAAAGTTGCACAGCACTTTGTTGTACCATGCAAACAGTGGTATTTCTGCTTTCAGGGTGTATTTGCATTTTCATTTAGCTAGTCAGATTTTTCTTGGTCCGGAAAGACAAATCATATGTGAAAATTAAATTTTTGTGTTGTGTGGTTTGGATTGGATTGGGGAGGAAGAATATTGCACAGTTTCATAGTGCAGTGAACCATGTCAAAAGTCACTCAAATGTGACTCCTTAAGCTTGCATCTTACAAAGTGCATTTAACTAACTTGCCTTACCTCCGTCACCTCAATTGGAATGGGTTCTGCATACGCTTCTGTCATTTCACCCACTGTTAAGAGACAAAGTCAGTTTTCAGAAACCTGTCTGTATTGCAGCAGTTTCAGAATGACAGTCACTCAATTGAGCAATGTGAAATGAGTGTTTTACCCGTGTCGGGAGGGTGCTCCTCTGCTTCAGACACTTCCACTGCAGCTGTCTGCTCCTCTTCCTCTGTGCAAACTCCGTTCTGATGAGACTGCATTCTATCAAAGTAGCCGCTCTGCAAAACCCGCTCCAACGTCTCATTCAGTGCTTTATCTGAAAGACAAGCATTTACACTCCTATTCAAATGTTTAGGATCAGTAAGATATGCGTTTTTAAAAGAAATCGTGCTCACCAAGGATGCATTCATTTGATCAAAAATCCAGTAAAATATTACATTTTTAAATAACTTTCTTTTAATGAGTTTTTAAAAGTGTAATTTATTCCTGTGATGCAAAACTGAATTACATGATCCTGGTGCATAGCAAATTAATTTATTTATATGCCATGAGCCACATGATCTGCCAAGGAATACCACTGAAGAAAAGTGCTAGAAGCTTTCTAAGGCAGGGCTACTGTAGGTAACTAGTTTAAAAATATCATAAATAAACGACGTAATCCTGTGAATATATTAGCAGTGTTTTAACGTGCTTTTTAACTGGCCATTAACATGCTGCTAGCATCAAGACTGCTATGCATCTCAAACTTGGGCAAAAATTTAACTTTGACCTATGGATTCCCCTCATTGATCAAGTATCTTTCACAGTCAGTGTCCCTTGGAGATTTTCCCCAAGCGCACAGCTGCAGGATCACACGGTGATACAGAAAACAGGGGACATGGATCATACCACTCCACCAACTGCTGAGTCAGCACATGCATCATGGCTGAATGCTGCAGAATATGCTACCTTTGCCTATTATCTATGTCTTGCTTTAGTAAAAACTCAAGAATGAGGTGTAACAAATAAATAAAATTATATATATATATATATAAAAAAATGC